TAGATGTCGACCAGTCCACAGGGAACAGATTTGTTTGTCACAGCTCAGGTAAGACCTCAGCTTGGCTCCCACTCATAAAGATCCGTTACAAGAGGCTCAAAGGAATATGCGCTCAAAGGGCGTCTTGCCAAAATTAAATATGATAGCAGAGATGGGGCTTCTATGTTACCACGTATTCATTCATTTTATTCAAAAGAAATCAGCAGGATAGTCTTCTTGCCACAGAGCAAGAATTAGTCACTGCACAAGACGACTCTGGCAGCGCAGAGGGTGTTATAGGGCTTTCAGTTTGTTGGTGGTTTTGGGGTGTTGTGTTTTTTTCTTTTTTTTAATCCCTGATTCTTACTAACAGAGATTTTAACTGTCAGGTAACCTGTCAAACTTCGCTATGAGCATACTTGTGACACTACACGTTGTCTGGTTTCCCCCACCTTCATATTTTAGCACCTTTGACTCAGCTATTTCAGATATTTTTTGCACATTAATTCAAATCAAGAGGTTTTTCAGGACAGACGTGATCTCCCACCGGGTGCTTGTGCAGCACCCAGCACAGGTAATGCGAATGCCAGCAAGTCAGATCAGAGACGTTCGTGGACAGAGATCAAGGAACAGAACATCAAAGAGCACTACAGGCAGAACCAGATACCTCGTCAAAGCCGTACCGAGGAGTCTCCAACACTGAGAGGTTAGTCATCCATTAATAAGTTATTACTCCATAAACCACAAGGAGGAAAATTGCATCTACATGAATACACAAGAAAGTAGGAACTAGCTTTTATACACACTAGAATGAGAATTTTGAGAGATCAGAGAGATTCAAGGAGAGTTAGGTATGAGATGAGGCTGGAAGGGAGGCGAGATCCCACTCCCGGTGGCTGGAGAGCCGTGGCATGGCAGTCACCACCACGGTCTGTTCCAACAGGGTGCCCTGCCAGTCATCTGCAGGGATGCGGATTTAACGCCGCTCATTTCCAAATGATGGGAACGCCTCTACAATAGGGTTAACGCGCACTGTGAGGACAGAGCAGGTATAAGCCTGCTCCCAAACGACACCAATTCTGCTGATTAAATAAAAGCACCAAATTCCATTATCTCAGTTCACCTGCAGCAAAAGGAATTTCCAGGAATACACCACCAGATGGTAGAACAACAGGTCCTAGCTCAACCACATTCCGAGCGTTACAGTCCACTCTGAAGGTGGAAGAAGTAAAACGTTTACTGTTGTCCATCTCAGGAGCACCTTACTGTTCCTTCAAAATGGAAACAAACCAACCAAGTGCTCGACCTCCAGCCATGCTTTTGTAACATCACCCCTCTGATCCAGCAAATGAGTTTGCAAGAAAGCACGCGCCCCTCCGGAGCAAAGCTCTCATGTGAGTCAGAGCATCTGCAGGTGGGAGGCCCTCATATGCTAGCAGCTCATTAAAAGCAAGAAAAGCAACTTAATGGTCCACAGCATGATCCAAGATGCAGTACTGATGAAGTCCAAAAAAGTTTGAAGATGGCAGCATCCAAATAAAAGACTTACCAGGATTGAGACTTGGGAAAATAGCCTTTGGGGCAAGGAAAAGGGCTGGGTGAGGGTGAAGGGGCATGAAGAGAAGACAAAGCACCTCAGAATCCCAACCTAAATACACAGCTAATATAGCAGCTCTTTTGGAAAGTTATTTCTTTTCTCCTCAAATGTAGAACAACAACAAACTAAAAAAAAACAAAACAAACCAAAACCCAACAAAAACCACCAATAACCCACTCCAAAGCAACTGTCAGTGATGAGATCCTGTGTTGCAGAGCCATCACAACTTCAGACAGCTCAAGACGTGGACCAGCAAAGAAGAAAGAAAGATCAGGGCTAAGTATATTTTCAGAGTAACCACGCTTTAACTACCTATAGCCAAGCTTTAACTACCTATAGCCAAGCTTCTGGGCAGCATGAAACCGCGTTAGCAAAACTGACAAGTAAAACTTTTGCTCAACTGTGGCTCAGTCTGTAGGATCAGACCCCTCTCTCCACCAAAACTCAGGCTGATTTCACGGGCAGCACATCCCTATTAAAAACCTGCTGTTCCCACTGACAGGGATTAACAGCCAAAAAGGGGGAAAAAAAAGTGTTGCAACCATAGCAGAAGTGAGATTCTGGAGTTGTTTTACCTTTTCTCAAGCCCCGCTCTCAGCCTAGGAAGAGACTGTTACCATTTTGTTAGTGTCACATTGAAGGTCACCATCTCTTTCAGCTGCCAGGCTCTGCCTCCTAAACAGGACCAGGACAGTACAGAGGGAAGACAAAGGTATGTTTCTATAAGGAGCTTTTTCAGGTTTTATGCTCTGAATAGGGGCTGCAGATACAAATTTGCACTGGAAGTTTCAAAGGTAGTTTTATCCATATAATCTCGCCCTTTGTGACTCTGACACTCTTGTCTTCTGGCAGTTCTCAGAGTTGTCTCTACTCAAACCTAAGGTTCCAGACCTTCAGGGGCAAGTTTCTTGCAGTGACCTTCTGAAGGGGCAGACACCAAGAAAGCAGTCGCATACTGGTATTCCTGTTTATGCCAGCTGAATATCTACTCTTCACACAGCTACGCAGGGAAACTCAGGAGAAACTGAAGATGGGCAAGGAGCCACGATGCTTTTATCTTCTTCCCGGTCTCTGGCATAAACATTGTGTTCAGCCAGGCAGTAAGTTTGAGGACTCAGAGGTCTAATTAAGAGAGATTCGTAGATCCCTGTTGAATTCAGCTCCTTGGGTTCATGCTAGGGTAGACGGAGCAATTGCACAGCA